GGATTTGTATACTACAAAAAATTGGGGTCACAGGAGGCATACACTAGTCTACATTGTATGTGCTTAACTACACGCTTTGGCTTACACACTTCAGTTAACTCCTCTTTGTAGGCAAACTATGAGAAACTCTGTTCTGCTTTTTATAGCACTACTATTTACTAATGTAAAACTTCCATTTTCTGACTGCATGAAAAACCCTCCATTATTTATGCAAAGTGAACAGTATTAAGCACCCCAACTATATAAAAATGATTGTATCCCAAAGATTTTATAGTGTTACTACTACATTTTAAAAATATACCATAATAGTTTGCAAACTAAGCTTTAAGCTTCTGCAAAGCCACATTAATTCTCTTGGGGGGGGGGGGGATGCATTTATTTCTACTACATATAACAGGAAACTTGCAGAATTACACAGTGGCTTAACAGACACTAATGGCACGGTGCCTTTATAGGCTTATATGGTAAGATTTTCTACTCATTATAGCATCACTGAAGCAAGAAAGCCTTCTCCAAACATCATGCATCTGACTTGCACCTATTGTAATTGAACTGGCTAATGTATTTCTATATTGCTTATCTTCTGGCCTTTCAAAAAAAAAAAAATCCAAAACCTCTCAGAGGTCAGCATTGTGGGTTCTAAAAGCAATCTCCTGAAACTTTAAGGAATGAAATCCTCACTGGGCTTCACAGTAAGGAGAAAAACTGAAGAAAGGATGGAGTGGAAGAACACAGGTATGCAAAAGCTGAGCAAAACACACAAAACAAACAAACAAAAACCCGGTAAAATTTGACCTTCTAAGTTTGTCAAGGCACATACGTCAGTGAGACCAGACAGATATTCTTAAGAGGTGCAAGACCTCTCATAGACACAGAGACTGAACAACACTCTGTACTAAAGACTAAATTCAACTCTCCAGCCAGTGCTAAACCATTCTACAAAAGGATGTATCACTGCCACATTCCAGAAGTTGTCTTGTTCTCCACTAAGTTTGTTACCTGAGAACTCCTACAGTTGCTAACAGTGATACTTGCCTCAATGCTCTTCAGAGTTGAGTACAGACACAAAATCTAGTCCCTTATGAAGTGATCTGGGTCTCTTACTCCACAAGCCTTGCAATAGGAAAAAGAATAAAATAATGGTTATATTGAATAGATCCTTCAGTTTCTAAGATATCTGTGAATTAATCAAGTTTTTTGCTTTCACTGTCAGAGTAGGATTAATAACATGGCAAAGAATCTGTAAACCTTGTTTTAGCAAGAGTATCATTCCCCAAAGAATTAATAGCTTCATACTGAACAGTGGTCTTTGCCAAAGCTGACATATCTTCACTATTTACCTTCACAAATTTGTCAGGGGAAGGGGTTATAGACTCACACTAAGGTCTGTACACAGGGTTGCAAACTGCAGTTCCTCACTTAGATGCCAAGAGGATCTGAGTTGCATGTTCAGTAAAAAATGTGTTCCAGAAAATTCCCTTTAAAAAAAAAAAAAAAAGACAAGACTCATAACTACATGAACACAGTTTCTTTTTAGACTTGCATCAAACACTGTGAGGTAAGAAATGCTGAGGCTTACCTGGCCGGGGGGGGGGGAAAGCAGGCTTGATTTAGAAACAAGCATAGGTGTTTCTCTTTTTCTCAGCATAGATGGAACTATCATATTCAATGTCTGTTTTCTAAGATAAGAACATCACCAGTTAGGAAGCTCTTCAAGAACACAGGAAACAGCTTAATTTGCTCATTCCGTCTAATGAATCATGACATGACATCACATCAGAGAGACTAAACTTGAGTCAAAATTCCCATCCCAGATAAAGGTAAAAGCATTTCCAAATTCTGTCTCCACAACTCCAGTATGCTAAAGCAGCTGGAGCAACACCAGCCACCCAGCTCTCCAGCTAGCAATCCTCCCACTAGGACAAAGTACCATCACCATCTTCTAAGCAACTGATCATCATACTCTGTCCACGTTAAGTCTGTGATGGGACAACGTACAGTTAACAGGAAGATGAATGAAGTTGAGGCAAAAGCCAGAATTACCTGGACTGTTCGCAAAGCCTAGGATTAAGTACAGAGCTCGAGTATTTCTGCTTGCAGCTCCTGAAGGGCACCAATCTCAACAGCAGTCATTTAAAGAGAACAGCCTACTCTCCCACTCTCCCAGAATCAATCTGGTACAACCCCAGATCAAAGATCAGTTAAAAGCTGTTGAAAAACAACATGTTCTGATCAACATTATATGTCTCCCAATGAAGCTTCCTCCACTCACAAACTAAAAGCCTTCACTGTTTGAAGAAGATACTGAATTCTCACCAACATTTCCAATAGATGGGGGGGAAGGAAAAAAAAAAAAAAAAAAAAGCTATTTGGGGTGTTTACCAGACATCCTTAAAAAAATTTCTCAAGAATTACTTTACACAGAGGTCTCTGATCAAATTCACTGTTTCATTTCTGGCACCTCTCAGTGCAGATTAGGCTTGTCACCACTTCTAACCTACCCGAGACCGACAGCTGCTCTAGAAACAGTTCCAGCAGTTACTGCTGCTCACCTGGAAGCTACTCCTCTTTCCCCCACAACTGATTCACATTAAACAAACCATGTCACCCATTGCAGTACAAAAAAAACCCCTAACAACTTCGAACCACCCCTGCAGAAGACCGAGTGCTTGCTTCTGATGTAGGAGACCAAAGTTACTGCAGCATTAACTAAGAATGACAAGTCACAATTTATGGGCACTGGCTAAATAACCACAACCATCAACTTATAAACTGTTCTACACACACCTGCAAAAGCTCATCTCTCTACACTCTGAACTGCTCTTCCTAAGGCTATGTCTGAACCGTTATTCTTTGACAGGCTAACCTGGACACTTAAGAGAATTTATCAGCTATCTTCCAGATTATTTTGAAGCCAGCTGGTTTTACACTAGACTGCAGGAATTGACAGCAACACATTTTTCACTTCACAATAATGTGGGCACCTGGTCTTTACCTTTTGTACCTTCTCTTTACATCATACATTTACCCAGTTTTGTTCCCTGCGTTACTGTGCTTGTTCTGCATTGGCCCTGCACTGCTGCCAATATATAAGTTCACAGACTTATACTGAAAATATTCTAGCCATAATTCCAACTACCTTTTAAATACTCAACAATTGCCTATCAAGATCGGAATCCAACAGTTCTCCAATTTATGCCCATTTTAGATTTATATTGAAGGCATTGGTGTAAAACAGCATCCATTCAATGACACCAAGAACCGAACAGCATAAAGCAAATTATTCCTAACAGTAGCAGGGGGCGGTTTTCAGGCTTCTAGTGAAACCTTTATACTTTAAGATCCTTTATTGACCAGGGATTATTTATCTCATTCCATTGTTCTAGTGCTAATTTATTTCATTTAACTCCCTTATTGTTGTGGTCTGCTTAAAGCCACTTTTCAGAGAGTTAACATCTATAACCTTTATATAAGAGCTATGTACAGCGCAACTAAGTAGAATGTGTTTACGCACATATAAAAATGTGTTTATACTCATTTTTTCAATCAATACTGAAGATGCTGTGTGCATCAGCAGACAGGGAAAGGAAAAAAAATATCCCTAACCAATGCTACAGATCAAGTTTTTCCTGCATCCTGAAGAGACTCAAAAATGTGCTTAAAACCACTGGAAGTTTTTCAAGTGAAATTTGAGTAAGCTGACTGGAATCATGTTGTCAAATTCAAGCCTCACTTAAATGTAGAAAGAAATCTTAAAAAAATATATATATTCCAGAAACAACACTGAAGTGTAAGTTTCTTTCCTCGTTATATGTTTGTTAAATCTAAGTCCCTTGGCTTGACACTTTGTTCTCTATAAATACTCTCAAATAAAAGCCATTAAAAAAAAAGATATTTTGTTCAATTCAAGACTTTTAGGATGGAGCTGGCCCTGTATTCTGAAGCTATTATTGTTCTTATCATCCTGAAGTAAGTCTTTTAACAGAGCTGGACAGGACAACTTACTCCAGTGTTTTCCAAAAACCTTCTTTATTCACATGAAGTTCAAATCGAAACTCTTTGTTTCCTTCCATATGTTTCATAGTAATAAACATTTACTACGTACTTTTTAGCCTATTTGTGGGTTTGGTAGATAGATCTTTAATTCTTAAATTAGTTCTTAGTTCTTTAGTTCTTAAATTATTTCATCATCTCGTTACTAGCTCCTGTTAACCATCTCCTCCCATTGCCCCCCCCCCCCAGCTTGAACAGCAAGGCCAAACAGACCTTCCACCAGAAGCCTGTGCGAGACACTAAATGAGACTGCTTCAAGGACAAAACACCTGTCATTTCCCACTTCACAAAGATAAAATTTTAAGTCTCAGCACAACCTCTGGCATGCATATATAACATCTACAATTCACCCATTGTTCTTTCATCAAAATACATACTTTCTAATTACAGAAAATTATCACAGAAGGACCATTATGAATATGCAACAGAAACATACAGTGGTCCAAACAAGATTTCCATCTTCTGTGTAATATTCTACTATCTTCTCCTTCCCTGACCCTCCTTCATCCACACCTCCTGGAGTTTTTTAAAACCTGGTGCCTTACACCTCTCACATCTTTTTAGTTGATCCCCTAAGTGATTTCAGTGGCTACGTCTCCAAGACAAAGTAGTAAGCATCAAATTAACACAATTACCAAAAAAGTGAGAGTAACACATACGTAAGCTTGGAAAAATAAACTTTTACCTCAGTTGTAATGCTACTGGCAGCTGTATTTTAAGTATATCCAATTTTCCAGCAAAATGATGTAAGCAAAAAATCTTTGGTTAGCAAAGCAGAAATACCACATGACCTGCAACTTCATCAACAAATTTCAGAACGTCATTTCCATGAGGCATGCGCTGTTAGAGAGCCCAGGTTTCTAAATTTCAAGCCAGCTAGACTTTAAAATAAGTTCACTTTCATAGTTTAGAATCAGAACAAACCATGTCCAAACTACATATTCAAATTTTTATAAAAATTAAGGTTTAACATTTATTTTACATCTAGCTTTCCACATCCACGTGGGGACAAGGAATCAGAATGTACATAACTATAAGCAGTGCAAAAGTGGTGCCAGTGCGAAGTCACAGATGCACAATAAAGTGATAGTACAAGACTAGAGAAAAATGAAGCTATGATGTTAAGAATGGAGACCAAAAAAAAAAAATCAAACAAGGAAAAATATGAAGGAAGAGGGCAGGAAAGAGGAGAGCTGGATGCTTAATAATGCCCTTGTTGCTGCAAAGATAAACTAATGGCACAAGACAATGTTTCTTGTAGAACAAAAGTCCAATAGCAACGAGTCTTTATTCACGTTTAGTCACCTGACATGAGGAAAGTGTCTGTTGCATTAAAATAGTCATCAATGTAAATGGCAGCATGGCTGAACAAGTCCTTTTCAATGGTAACGAACATCCCACATAGTAAAGTCACTTCAACACAGCCTCATGACAATTCCCACATCAAAACAGTACTTTATTTTATATTTTTTTTTGCCTCATCATTACTCCCACATTAAGATCTTCCAGCTGTCAAGTGTACAAGGTGAAGAAAAAGGTTCTCAGTCAGCAAACACAGGTGCATCAGGAAGTATCTCCACAATACACCACTTCAGATCTGCTGGGTCCCAAGTCCATCCTTGAACGCTGGGCTCCCAGCACCACGTGTAGCACACTACTAAGGCTACACTACTATGTTAGCTTATTAATTCTGCATACATCAGGCCGAACAATGTGTCAACCTGCAACAGACTGAGCATTATAACTGAAAATGGCAAAAGATTCACTCTATTGAACTTTACATCATCATTTGATGTTCAACAATGAGGCAAATCCCAACAGTATATACAAAAACCAGCTTTGCTTTTACAAAAGATTTTGTTTCCCATATTGATTAATCCAGGCAGCTAACTCATTGGTTTATGCAACTTTATTGAAGAAAATAAATCAATTACTAGTAGAGCTATTAGTTGATCACTCATCCATTGACAACTTGCATCATTTATTCAGTGCTATATTAAACAGTGTTTTGGAAGACAGATTAACTAATAGCTCCAAGCCTCCTAACAAAATTTAAATGAATTACAAAAATGTTCTTAGACCCTATTTTGGAATACAAGGGATGTTTGACTTCCAATTTCCATTCTCTGTAAAACAAGAACTGGTCATTCCTTTATTGACATGCATAAGATACATCACATTTTCTGTTCTGCTGATGCTATAGATTCAGTACCAATTCTCCAGACACATCAGTTATGAGCAAATGTATATAATAAAACCTCAGTTCTCTAACACTGGAAGGTTTGGAACAAGATGGATGTTGCTACGGCAATGTTACTTCTTTGATGGGAGAAAATTGAACATCCATCTCCCCTCCCCCCTTCAGGTGATATCTTCAGTATCTGTTAGAGCAGTGAGGAATGTTTGTTTGTTTTTAATCTCATAACCAAGTTAGAATGAAGACATTGGCCACATAATACACATGCTCCATTAAAAAAAATTCTGAATCTTGGGCAATTGTTCTTGTGTAACTACTTTACAGATTCTAAAAGCAGTTATTGTCCAAAGCTGGAAGAACTAAAGTCTTCTCAGATGAGCATGTGCATGAATGGAAGGAGGTAAACAAAAAAAATAAAAAAAGATGAGGTCTGATAGGGGAGCAGCCGGATAAGAAAATCAAAAAAGGAACAGTAATTTAAAGTTTATTCCAGCTATAATGCAGGTTATTCTGACTTTAAGGTAGCATCACATGGCATACTTCTGAGTCCATTCCCGAGATATTCTGTTGTACCTGCAAACAAAGACAGGAATTGAATTTGTGTCAGCACGAACATGACAATTTCCTAAACAGTTAATGATTAAGTAGCACTTTATCCCCATCTCCCTATTCTCTTCACACTAAGAGAAGTCTCTTTCTATAGTAGGATATACTTGAATTGAAAAAATTGAACAAATTCCTCCCTAGACTAAGATGTTCTCTAATTTATCTGAAACACTTTGAATTCAAGACAAGCAGATTTGCCAGAAGTCTGGGGGAAGGAATAGAAACTACCTGGGGTGGGAGAGGCAAGGGGAGTGTTTTGTTTAAATATTGTCCTTAGGTAAAGATTACAGAGTATCACATGCCATAAGTAAAGATTACTTGGTTAATAATATCATTGGATACAGAATGTCAAATTTCCCATTTTGGAGTAAAACACCACTAAGCATTTCTTCACACTTAATACTCTCTTTCCACATGAATATACTGCTCAAACAACTTTTAAAAGGACATTAAAAGACTGTTTAAGTACATTACTTCCACAGGAATAGAGCTGACAATTAGTTTATACTTAACTCCATGCTTGTCAGTACGAAGTTAATTTTCAACTATACAAGCAGAATATAATTGCTATACGTTTTTCTAGTTTATCTGCAGAAGACAGACACTGCTGAATAATAAAAATTTGAAATTTGAATTGTCTAAATTCACTGTGCACGAGGTCTTGCTACAGGGCACCACTTTTAATGAAATTCTGACAAAATCTGGGTAAATACTTACCAGAACAAGTTGACAAGTTGGCTCAAAACTCGGTAATTATTTCATACTATCTTTTTGTTTGTTTGTTTTTGGCCATGCAAGAGCAGTATCTGTGAGAAATAGTGACTAGCCAATACATTTCACACTAACCACAGATCAAGCTGTTAAATATCCAAGTTCAGTAACTGGTGCATCCATTATCTGTTAGTTAATCCAGTGCCTTAGAGCATGCAGCACCCAAGTGCTGACAAGTTTCCATTTTGTTAAATGCACCATAATGTGCAGATATTCTTACCCTACAGCATAGCGTATTTCTCTGTCCACTCTCTTGCTAACCTATTGTACCTAATTGGACAAGTATATTTAGCATTAAAATATATATATAAAAAAACGAAAGTCTACTTCATATAATTCTATCTGTGCAAAATATTAAACACACATAAGGAAAAATAAAAAGTTTCAACACAGATAGGAAAAAAGTTATGAAGCCTTTTTTCAAGGGGAGCACCAAAATTACAGGCCAAGCTGCTACCAAAAGAAAGCACCAAAATAACAAAGCTCTCTCTTCCTCAATATGAAGATCTAACTATATTCTGTTTAAGCATGGTAACCAAAAAACTGGGCAATACATACTTTAAAATAACTGCCACGCATATGAGAAAAAGAGTCTCCACCCACAACTTCGAAGATGCTAAGCCCCTTTGGTTTTAAATTATGCACTACCAAGAACAGATACTTCTTTGACACACAAGTTCTCTTCATCCCAGATTTTCACAAAAGGCTCACTCAACACAATTGCTGTCTGACAATGCACTCTTACAAAGTTTGTTAAAACATTAGTCTTACACAACTCTGTACTTACTTGTCTCTGTCTGTTTTATAGATACGTGCAATCTCTGGCACTAGTGGGTCATCTGGATTTGGATCACATAACAGTGAACAAATGGATAAGAGAACTGTAAAAAAAAGAAAAGAATCCTCAATACCAAAAAAGGAGCAACAATCTCAGAAACAATGGAGCACAGATCTTTGCATTAGTACAATGTCAGCTCAGGAGAGAACCTAAAAAGCCTTTTCCTGATATACAACCAAAATAAATTTGTAACCCTCTCTAAATAAGAAGCCCAAAATGATTTACAAGTTCATAAGAACTACTTCTTATTTCCCAATACTTACAGCTGTCAATAAGCACACACGAGAACAACACTGCTGTCCCCTGCACTATGATGCAACACAGCAGCCAACAAAAGCATGTTATTATGTATTCTGATGACCAGCATGTTCCATGGTTTTAATCACGAATACCAGAACTTCTACAATTTTATTATTTTTTTTAATCAGACTGAATTCTGTCTCTGTTTTAAGGTAGCAATACACTGGTCTGCACTGATAAAACCACACGTATGTTGTAAAATAAAGGTGTAACACCGTTGTAGGCAGCTATATGGACTTCATCCTCTACTCTCACAGCAGCTTTGAAAGAAAAACAAAGGTGACAGCATTAAAATGTAAGGAATCCACATTCAAATCACAAACTACTCCTTGGACAGACAGGAATTACAAGTTGTATAGACAAAGGAACACTTTCATGGATCTTTTGAAGACACAGTGACCACTGGCTTTGAGGCAAAACAAAATTTGATCATCGTGAAAATATTTAAGAATTAACTGTTATTTCCTATAGTGAACTGAGGAAAGCTACAAAGCTTCTATTGCAGCACAACATCAATTTATCCTGAAGTAGAATCAGTAAGCTCAGTTCATGAAGTAATGTAATACAATGCCAGTGCACAGTAGTAGAAAGCAACATGTATCAGTAACAGTTTTCTTTTATTCATCTACCACAGAGATATGCCATCATAACTCTGCATGTAATTCTAGACAGACTCAGTCAAAAAAACCCATGCAGATTTTGTTATTAAAAACTGACTTTAAATTAATATTTGAGTGTGTATCTACACAGACAGCTGCAAACAAGCAGTTTCTCAGCCTTAGCTCAAATATAGCACCACAGGCCTGTTTCAATCCAAGTGCTGGCAGATTCCTCTGGGACCAAGTTAGTAAGCTCTGCTAAGAATACTGAAGCAAGTAAGTGGCCAGACAAGCCCTTAAACAGCCAAGTAGCAGAAGGTGTTAGAAAAAACAACTATCCATTAAAAACACAGTAAGATATCATTATCAAATTGGCAAAACACAGGCTAGAATGAGTAAGGGAAATCAAGAGACAGGTAAGAACCCAAGACAATCAAAGCTAAAAGCACAGTATTCAACACAAGATGGAAACATTTCTCCTTCATGAAAAGTTACCTTTAGAAATAGTTAAAGCAGGAGACCACTGTGATCTTAGAATATCAAGACAAATGCTGCCATTACTGTTAATATTTGGATGATAGATTCTTGTTGTAAATGCAACCTGCAACAAAAAAAAAAAAAAAAGAAGAGTGTGCTTCGGTCCATGACGACAATGACGTCACCCTTTCTTCTCAGTCAACTCAATTTAAAAGAAAAGGATTAAGCAGTTAAACTGCATCAAATTTATGGAAAGGCACCCAAGCTGCAACCTCTTCACTTCCAATTACCAGGCACTGTATTTCAAACAGAAAGCGGGCAAGTATGAAGCTGTGTTTTAATCACAGGTGCCTGCATCACGATCAAGACACTCAACAGAAGCACCTCAACCACGGTAACGCTGCTATCACAGATCTAAAGAACCTCAAACATTGTGGTCACTCCAAATGTGCACTTTCATATTGACAGAAAATTGGAAGACAATGCTAGTGGCTGATAAAGCTACAAAAAAAGCGTATTTCACAATTACTGCCAAATTCTAACAGATATCATCTTCACTGATTTTAGGCACTCAACAAGTTAATCCTTACCCATAGTGTCACACTCCTATAGACCAACCCAAACAGCTACACTGTAATACTTGACAGTCCTCCAGCAAGAATTCCATTACAGTAGCACAAAGCTAATGAGTTTTCCTATCAATTAAGAAAAGGAGAACTAAAACCAAACATCATTCCAAGTGTCCTGGTTTTCAGCTGGGATAGAGTTAATTTTCACAAGAAGCTGGGAGGGGACACAGCCAGGACAGCTGACCCAAACTAGCCAAAGGGATATTCCATACCACGTAACAACATGCTCAGTATATAAACTTGGGGAGGAAGCTGGCTGGGGAGGAAGGATCCAGCCAACAGGCTTGGCATCAGGTTCTAGACAGTGAGCAAATTGCATTGTGTATCACCCACTTTGTATATTCCTTTATTTGTATTACTGTTGTCATTTTCCTCTTCCTTTGCTGTCCTAGTACACTGTCCTTACCCCAACCCACAAGTTTTACCTTTTTCTTCCAATTCTCCTCCCCATCCCACCAGAGGGGGAGGAGCAAACGAGTAGCCATGTGGTGCTTAGTTGCCAGCTGGGGCTAAATCATAACACTGAGACATTCAGAATTCACATATATGAATTTGCTCCTAAAATATAGGCTTATGCATCCATTCTTGTGGTAGTCAGAGAGGGACCTAGCCATCTAATATACTGTAAGAATGCATGAAAAGAAATGAGAACTTGACAATATTACAACACAGATGCCAACAATTTCTGTCCTGTACTCAGTTCTTTAAAGAGCACTAATTTCACAAATGAGAAAGCAACACTTACCTTAGGTGGTTTGAAAGGGTAGTCTGTAGGAAAGTGAATTGTCAAGAAGAATACACCACCCTGATATGGACTGTCATTCTGTCAAAGCAAACAAATAATTCTCCTATTATTATCTTTAGAACAAAACATCACTGAAGAAATTGTTTTTAAATAAATAAAGGAGACAAAATTTATTTAAACAACTGAACTGTTTAATTCACAATATAAGAGAGATGCAATTAAAATTCAAGTACTACTTCCTAAGGTAAGCGATACAGAACACATACAGGTCACTTTTTGTATGGACGTCTCCAAGCTAATGCTTCACAGAAAACAGCCTGACAATCCACTCAGGACAACTTGGCAAAAGCATCCAAACACCTCCAAGGCAGCTCCAAGAAGTAATGTTAACAGAGTGGGAGTCCTGTCAGGCTCAAAACCCCCCAGGTTTTGTGTTTGCAGCTTATTTGTTACAACCACACAAGTCTACAGTGGTCATGGACAGCTCTAAGGGCCTCCCATTCCCTCCTAAATTCTGTCCTTGGCTTAGGGACTGCTCAGTCCTGCAGAAAACCTACGAATATGCAGCTAACTCCTTGGTTCCTTGGAAGGAAAGAAAACAACACTCAACCAAAAAACCCAACAAAGCACCAAACCAAACAAACCCCACTCTACCAGCACTAACAAACAAATGTAAAAAACCCCAAAAAACGTGTCATGGTTAAATTGAATTCTTCCTCCCTTTCTGTATTTGAAATTCACTGTAATCTAACATGGAAGAGTATTTTACATTTCCCTGCTTCAAGGAAACAATTATGGGGATAATTCATTCAGGCATTAGCTATTAACAGTAAAGCAACATGTGGAAGTAAAAAAGCTGATAGTAAGCAGAGAATAAATGGAGTGACTAAATAGGGATTGTGTAAGTTACTAGTTACAAGAAGAAAGACGTAAGAAGCTTTTACTTGAAACTACAACTAAATTTCTGAAATAGAGCTAACAATTTCGTTATTTAACCTGAAGACTACAGTGCTTTTAATTCCAGATTTGGGGCTAGGGAAAATGAATTTGCGACACACAGCGTACACTTCTGAATTATTTGTAAATTGAATTTTCATATTAATTGCAAGAACATTTCACCAACATAAGGAAATAACTACATCTTTCTTAGTTAAATACCAGAAAATTAAATTCTGCAACACAAGGGACTCAAACCTGAAAACACGTAGGTTATACGCTATCCAATCTCTGCTGAAAACCTAGCAATCAAGATATAATCTCTTGTATTTGGTCAATAGATACTATGTGAAGCCCTGAGGAGCTAGAAAGCAACCCTTTTACTGCACATATTCTGGGGATATATTTTTAGCAATTACAGAAATCCCTCTTAGAATGCGTTAAACCAACGCAAGCTTTCTTACATCTGTCTAAGAAAATCACAGCCTATTGCAGAGATGGAAGGCCAGATGATTAGTTCTATAACCCTCATCTGTTATTAAGGGCACTAAGCAACACCACAGGTGCACTAGATCTACTAACACCACACTTCTGTCAGGATACTGCCCAATCTTGAAAGAGGAATTGCAGGCCTTTTGAGACCACAAAAACCGTATGGGAGGGGGAAAAAAAAAAAAAAAAGAGCTGTACATTATTAAACCAGAAGGGGAAGCTGCTAAAAGTTATAATCCCAATTTAAATTCAACTAATGTTTAATACCTTAAGACCGTGCAGGCACCAGCCACGTAAAAATCATACTCCATATAGTGCAGAACATTCCTTGCCATTTAAACATGAATATAGCTATTAAACAATTTTATCTTTTTCAGGCAGCTAGTTACAATCAATGAGGACCAGGGATTTTGGAGAGCCATTTTTCCAGTCAGGTGAACCTCTAATAAGCACATTTTCCACAGCAATCTCCTAAAACCACACTTGTGTGTATATATATATAACATCAGGGCAATTCAGCATCACTGTTATTTAATTCCTACTCTGTAGCCTCACCAGAAGCATCACACAGTGGCTGCAGGTCTACTGGCATACAATATTTGCCTTAAGTTACAAAAGGTTTTGTTTTCTAAATATACATAACCAGCCCCAGAACTCCAGATGTCAAGTGTTTGCAGGTTAAGTTTTCAGTGAAGGGAAACATTTGCCTTTTTTAACAACGAAAGTCACACTCAGGCTTCAGATGCTTACTGAACATTTAACACAGTTTTTTTTTTCTCCAGTCATAACTGGAACCTCACATTTCAGTGACTTTTTCCCTTCCATTCCTAAAAGTATTCCAGATCTCAGTACATGACACTAGATCAAATAAGGATTCCCTGTTCTAAGATTCACACAAAAGCATCCCAACTCCTGACACTGGGATCAGCTCCTAGTACAAAGTTCATGCTAGATTCAAACTTCAGAAGAAGTTAAATGCAAACAAAATTTCTAGATAGTAAGTGATAATGTCTAGCATTGCTGTAGAGATCATATCAGCTGAATTATATATCCTCATAAAACATTCCAGCAATAAAATAATCATTAGACTTTTTTTCCCCTCCTTCATTTTCTGTTACTGTAAGGAGTACCTCCAGAACTAAAGCGTGATAAAGGGAGTTAAAAAAAGGTAAAACAAACCCACCCCCAGTTTCCTCCTGAATAAGAACTACTAGTTTAATATTATGTCACAAGAATTAGTATACTTACAGGTCCCATAATTGTGGCTTGCCAATGAAACACTACAAAAGAAAAACTCCGCATTATTATCTATGCATGATACGCTTTGAGTTAGCAGAGCAAATCATAAAACTTAAGGTTACTTACTGTCATCTCCAACGGGACCTGCCGAACACTGTGCTGGAGGATCACGGGCTAAGTCACTAAGTTCCTTTAGGGAAAAAAAAGAACAAACAAAAAAAAATCTGTTCAGAGAAGGAACATTAATGAACTCAGTCATTTTCACTTCCTGTCCAGCAAAAATCTTTAACAGTTTTTCCATACACAAACATGGAAGAATGTGCAATAACAGCAATTAGAACCACTAGATCAGTATCAAAAATCTGTCTTATAAAAGACAAGGACCATCAAAACCAGCTATGAAGGTAAACAGCTACAATGACTATGCTTTTCCAAATCATTACTGTAAAGACACCCCTGCTGAAGAACAGAAAGGAGAGCAGGACACAGAGCCTGAAACGGGCAAAGTCTAACCACTTTCTGATCAAGATTTTCAAGGATTCAGTCTTAGCTAGAGAAGCCTGAAATGGGAAGAGAGAAAGCTATTGATGAATCTTCATGAAACAGAAAGCACTATGTATGTAGCATCTGATAGTAAAACTCAGAACAGAAAGAAAACAAATACAGAAACTCAGTTTCATTTTCCCCACTACCTCCAGCAGCAATGTATCTTGTATAGATTAAAGTAGATATAAAAATTAAAGAGGCTGACAAGTATTGGAATCAGGCAAAATATTTGTATTTTTTATTTTAAACTTCACATTTAAGACAATTATTCCTTTAAAATTCTGAATAACTGAGGTGCAGAAACCCTCCTCCCTCCTCCATTATAGAGGGAATGAAACCAGAAACTTCAGATGGAGGATTCCTTGTGTAGTATCAAGATTGCTATGATGCATCAAAGCAGTGCATCATTTATTTGTTGAAATGCTCCACAAGTTACTTGTTTGGACAGTGTCTTTTAAAATTAAATTTATACTTTCAGTTAAAATATGTAACAGATACCTTCCCTCTTCCCTGCTTTCTTTTGAATCTAAAAATGGCTTCAGGAGCTCCTAGATGCCTTGACAAGTGCAGATTTATAGAAGTCATGAGAAAAGGAAAAAACCTTCAGTCCCTCTCCCATATATTAACAGCTGCACACAAGTTATTTTGCTACAAGTCTATACAAGCCCTTAAAACAAGAACTTTCCACTAGTTTGTCAGAAGAAACCCAGGCATACCTATTACGCTGGAAACACACGCATATATTTGGACCAGACAGCTAATTGTTTTGCCTGGGAAGATCCTAATGTACATCCTTTAAGTTTCACGAATTCTGCACTTGATAAAAATTTAACAAGTGTAAGCCAACACAAAATGAGGGGAAAAAAATTATGTTCCCTGTAACCTAAACACATTGCTCTTCGGTAAGACGATAGCTCCTGCAAACACAGAGAGAATAACACTACTTCAATATGTAGAAGCCCATACATTCAAAAAAAAAAAAAAAAACCCCAACCAAAACCTGCACTGAAAAAAACAACCCTCAAAACACCACAAAAATTTAGTCCCACGTTTCCCCTCCCCTTCACATGCTAATTTTTATGAAGTTTCCAATTAACCAGATTTCAGTTTTGCACTGGAATCAGACTTTTGTAAAACAGAATTGTATTAGTTTTGATAAGCAAGGGCACAATGAAGGTACTATTACAGTTCATTTCACTGCTGCTGTTATTTAGAAGCATGGGCAACAGCTCTTTCCAGATCATCACAGTAAATCCACTCAGAGTGCCTTTCTCTACATTCTCCAGTTATTGTTGGGGGTCCCTGTAATACTTATTTCTGCCATGAAATATCACTTACTAGGTCCATATGTCATTCAACACCCTCCAGAACGATTTGCTAAGTTAAACTTATATTACCCATGTAAAGACAAACAAGTAATGTAGAAGAACCTTCAGGTAGAAAGCTTTTTTAAATTTTCAGGGTGGGTGGAGTTTTTTTCCATTTAACAAATACAGCAGGTTTTGTTAATCAGGCTTATTTATCATCTAAATATATCTTCCACTCCTGAGAATGATCAATCATTTCCAAAATCTGAGGGGGGGGGGGGAAAAGACATTTTGTCCCTTAAAATAAGTTGTAGCAATAGAAAAAGCAGAAAGACATAAACGTTACTATTTTAATATAGTGGTGTAGTTATTACTGGAGCAATTTAATTGGGAAAGAAGATCAGATTTATTTTTTTTTAGATCACAGGGACTTAGAACTTTGAAATGGCTCTTCATGCAGTTTATGAAAATTATAAAAGCGAGTAGCATAAAGACAAGGTCAAGAAAAGATCAGCGTAAAGAGGACTGTCAGAGGTATGTGCATGAGACTAGAAAGCTCTTCAGAAGGTATTGCTATCTTCAGAGAAACAAGAAATCAGTACTCAAGATAAAAATAAGGTATTTTAACACAGCAGTAAAGTTAGAGTATATCAATAATTCAACTAGGAAAAGCAAATATGAGTAGGATTGCAAATGTAAGACAAGTAATAAATTTAATAAGTTCCGGTGAAAAATTTGTGCAAAAACACCTTCAGTAATATTAAAAACAATTTACAAGCTGAAACACATGAGTTTTAATATTCCAGTCTCCAGTCATTTCAAGATACATGTCCATACAGAGTAACCCCTTAACGACTTGAACTGTTCTAGAGAACAAACAAGCAGTGATTTTCATAAGCTAAAAGGACTAAAGTTTTGTCTGGCCCAAAAAAGTTTCAGTAAAAAAAAAAAATAATCTAATTTTGCTAAACAAAGCAGTTCAAAATACAGATAAGATTAGTAACACGATACACCACTTAGCATTTCAACTACAGAGCAAGCAATTTACCCGCTAAATTCAGAAAGAAAAAAAGCTGAGGTGGCATGCATTCTTATATTTGCTTCTCTTCAGTACTATGATCAGAAGAGTAAAGCTTTTAGTAAGGCTGTTTGCTTCAGCAGAGCATGAAGTGTTGTGGCAGAGCTCGGACAAATACGAGACACACTGGCAAGCTTTGCCTGCTTACAGTAACACCAGACCTATTTCACCTCCTCCCTGGTAAGTGTGTGGTGCTTCACATCTATCTACACTGAAAGAGGAAGGCATTTTGCAACGAGGGAGCGGAAAGTAATTTCTGTGTAACTTTAAAAAGTGCCTCCTGAAAGGTACAACTCTGCTGAATCCAACAGGCAAACTGGAATAACTGGAACTAAACAAGCAGACGCACACGGGCTGTGATATTTGGAGCACAGTTGAAGCATTTCATTCAAGGAAAGGGAGGAGCTTGCATTTATTTTTTTTTTTAAAGCTTCCCACTCAGCAGCAGAAACACAAACTGACCTTCCTTCTCAGCTTAGCAATCAAAAGCAACTATTCTACAACAGGAAAATATTTAATCTGAAAAACATTTCTGACATCAAAACTAAGCTTCATCATAATGGCAATTAAAAAAATAATTAAAAAAAAATCAGCTCACAATTGTTCCCCTGCTTTTACTGTTTACTCACCAAGAAGGTGAAGACCATGTTAAGTTTCATTTTACAAAGCAGAGTTTAACTAGTATTTTAGAATTTAACCAGTATTTTTAAAAGTTAAAATCATTCCAAGCATTGTTCTGCAAAATTTCTATGCATAAGGGCTTTATCTTTCTAATATTCCTTCTGCTGCTCTACTTACTATCTCCAACTTTCAGTAGTGCTTTCCTTTGTCAAGGGTTACTAAGCTAAATCCCAAACTTACTTTAAAAACCCCCAGAGTAGAACCCACATTTTCTTGGAGTCACCTGCTATAGTTTCTCACTTTACAGGTGGCTTGAGAAAAAAATTCCCAAGAAGCAAATTCCAAAGACTTTACATAGAAACAATAAGCCAAATTTGGTTCAGAGTGATGCGTTATATGCCTATCGGAAAGGATTAGTCTTGAATTACAACCGTGACTAGTAGTCTCTGGCACTGCCAGAGGTTTCCGGTGTAGCTCCAGCATATCACCATTTCTGCGTCCCAGTTTCCAAATATAAAGTTGTGATCGTTCCTGGCTCTCCACAAGGATGATTAGTCACTTAGCATTTTACAGATTTAAACACTGTTTAAGGAGTAAGCACCAATGCTACTGTTAGAGGACAACGGCAATGTAGCATATATGAGAAGCAATATGTCTACAATTTTGCAACAGAGTTTTGAAAAACAGAGATAAGTGGAAATACAGCAGCAGTACCCATTGCTGCAACAGACAGACCTGCCTTAACACCAATTCAGCACCCTGGTACTCTGGCAGTTTCATATTAAGTCTGTAGCAAGATGTAGTGTCATTGGTGAAACAGCCCCATTCTTAATCTTCTCTCTTCTCTTTCTCTATAAATTCATCAAAAAGCTAACCAAAAATAAACCAGTATTTTCAATTAAAAAATGCTTAGAAAAGTTAACTAATCTGCTTGTTTTGCACAAATATAATCATAACATTGAAAAAAGGGCTTATGCTTCATATGATGATCCAAAACATTGACATGTGAGTGTGAATGCAGGACTATGACCCCATTATAAACCACAAAAGTGTTGTCTTTTTTTTTTTTTTTTTTTAAACAGAAATGCTACTAAAAAAACTCCGTCAAATAACTCCTCTCTACCAGTCATTTGAAGGATGAAGAAAATGTAAAGAATGACATGGAGGATACTTCATCCAAATATGCATGAGCAAGACAGTGAAGGAAAATATTTAAGGGAACTATCTGCTTTTCTCACAGAGGTTTTCAGGTCTCAGCAAATTCAGTAAGAAATGACAGCTTGATGACTACCCAGCTGCCTTCTTGCAAGGTACCAAGTAGAGCAGCATCAGTGTCGACTCCTTTTCTCCTCCATTTGTCAGAATTCATACTCCCTGTGGCACAACTGCTACATTTTTCTAGTTTAAGCTGGAAATAGCCAGGGCTTATTTTTAATGATAGTAGCAGCTGACTTAAATACAGAGTGGCAGAAGATCACTCCCACCAGCGTGACAGAAGATCACTCATTTTCCTCCACAGGCATAAACTCACAGATTTAATAGTGGTTTGTAAAGATTCCATATTGGTTTGTAACACAATTATTTGTCAAAATAATATTTTGCAGCTTTCTGGTTTGTAATCAAGAAAACATAATGGAA